GATACAGTTAGCTGGAGTTAGCTTAGGTGGTGAGCTTGGAAGGCAGTGAGCTGGATAATGGGTGGTAGTGTGACTACCTTACAGTTCTGTAGGTCAGAACTCATTAGGCTAAAATAAAGATGTCAGCAGGGCCAGGTTCCTTTTCGGAGGCTTTCTGGGAGAATCATTTCCTTGTTCATTTAGGTTGTTAGCAGAATTCAGTTCCTCATGGTATCTCCATTTCCTTGCTGGCTGTCAGCTAAGGGCTGTCCCCAGCTTTTAGAAACCACTCAAATGCCTTGGCTCATGAACCCCTTCCTCCATCTTAGAAGCCAGCAATGCTTCTGCCTTCCACTATTAAGGATTCATCTGATTCCATCGAGCCCACCTGCATAGTCCAGGATACTCTCCTCCTCTCAAAATCCTCACCTTAATCACATCTGCAAAGTCCCCTTTGTCATGTGAAGTAACATGTTTGAAGGTTCCAGGATTAGAGTGTGAACATTTTTGGGGGTACCATTATCTGGCCTACCACACAGTGCCTTCTCTCCTCTGCCACCCCCTAGAAGTGTAGCCAGTGGCAGAATAGAGAGCGACATATGCTCCTGTTATGGCAGTGGTTCTCAACCGTGGCTGCACATTAGAATCACCTGGGAATCTTTTTAAAAACCTGATTTCTGGGCCTCATCCTCCGGAAATTCTGTTTCTTTGTTATGGAGTGGGGCCACAACATTAGTAACAAAGAAACAGAATTTCTGGAGGATGAGGCCCAGAAATCAGGATTTTAAAAAGATTCCCAGGTGATTCTAATGTGCAGCCAAGGTTGAGAACCACTGTGTTAGGGTGTCTGGGTATCAGTAACAGTAGTCACAGAGGGGGCGGGGCAGAGTTAGGGAGGGTGAGCCACTGCCACAGATAAATCGAATGGTAGAGCTGTCCAAAGGACCGAGATATCATTTAGTCATGTCCTAGACCTTGTGGGAAATTTCTTGGGAATGGACCCTACTCTTATATCTACTCTTATATTTTATCTCCAACATATAAAATATTGTTTACTGCCTAGTGGGTGTTCAGTAAGTACTTCTTGACTCACTATGTGGAAACTCAGGTCAGAAGGGTGAATTGGTATGATTAAGGTCACACAGCTTGTTTATGGTAGAGCTGGATCTAGAAACTAGTTTTGATTTTTCATTCATTGTTCAATCAAATTTAGAAGGCAGCTCCTGGAAAAATGAACTACTTCAACAAATGAAGCCGCCTGTATGCTTTCTTTCTACCTTGCACATAGCATCTCTTCCCTCTTTATAAAATATTGCTAACCAAATCTATAAATTTAATGTTTGCATCATGAGTCAAGAGGTCTGAGTTCTGTTCTCAGTTTGTTCATTTTCTTTATGGCTGAAGCAAATTACTTCACCTGTTCAAACTCAATTCATCTATCATGAGAAATGTTAAGGTTCCTTTCAGCTCTTATGTCCTGTAATTCTACATTTCATGAAAGCTAATGTATTAATAAGCTTACCCATGGACCCAGCATACACCTGAATATCTTTATATCAGTGTTCTTTCTTAAAAACATTTGCAGACATTCAACATTACTTCTATCAGAATCACCTGGGGTGATTCTGCAATGAATGAATTTGATTAATAATTGTTGATTTGGAAATATTTCCATTAGGCCATACTTCTCAACGCTTTTTACCTCTATAGTAATAGTAGCCATAAAAAATAATTATATTTATGTGGTTTACTGAGGTAAGAAACCTTAGACTTTTTGCCAATGTACATCTCACAGAAAACTCTGTCCTAAGTATCATTAAATGAAAAAAATAAGTTGCAGAAAAATATACAGGGCATCCCAAAAATGTATACACACTTTAACAGCTGATAGTTCAATTTTGAAAATGAAATGTATTTTTAATAAACATTGCCTTATAATTATTAAAGTGTGTGTATACATTTTTTGGAACACCCATATATCTGTTACTATTTTTTTTAAGACAATGCCAAAACTTTGTATGAGTATATGTCTGCATGATTATGTATTATATATTGTATATGATTATGTAAGTGTTATGTAAATTATATATACAATATTATAAGAATATTAAAAGGAACATACCAGGTTGTTAATGTAAGGAAGAGATAACAGAAGACAAAGGATAAAAAACTTACAAAAAAAAAGCGAAAGCACCGTATGTTTGCTATGAATCTATTTATGCATTTATGCAAAATAATGTATTTGTATATAAAGACATTTAAAAAATAAAAAAAATTCAGATTCAGGGCCTCTATCTTAGATCCCTTAAAGCAGAATCTTAGGGATAGGAGATGTGGAGAGGTGGGGACCTGCACATTAACAAGTATTTCAAGTGATTCTGGAGCAATGAAGTCTGTAAATTTTTGCATTAGGTGCTAATGTCACCAGCGGTAAACAGCATATTTGGAAATTTCCACCCTGCAATTTCCACCAAGCAGGCTCAGCTTATCCTCATTGTCTTGGAACATATTAGATGCATAATAAATAGCTGCTGATTATTTGGGTCATTTGGAGGACAGATGGAGGGAGAGAGGGCCAAAGCGGTGAGAGAAGCAGATCAGCTGGGCTAGATCAAGCCTAGGAGAGATGAGGAAAAGCACCTGGGAACAATGGGCTGGGCCCCTTTGCCATTTGCAGACATTCAACAAATACTATTTGTTAGGCATTAAATTCACGAGGGAATTTTTCTGTGTTTTATTTCATTTACTTCTTCAATAATCCTTTACAGACCCAAAGAGGTGAAGTGAGTAGCCCATGTAATATCATAATTAGAATTTGAACATATAATTGGGTTTTGAGCACTGAAGAATCAACCAGATACGAGGCTGCTTCTAATAGGATGGTGAGCACAACAGATTGTTTGCTCTTTTTCATATCTAGAATCTTGCAGCTCTGCCAGGATCATCCCTGTCTGATGTGAGTTATTAGTCGACTGCCTAGAAGCAGCTTGTCATATACCCTAACCTGGATCCCGCCAAAGACAGATCACAGCAAAATGTGATTTTTGTTTTCACAGCAGGGAGAGTGTTTCCCAGCTGACTTTGCATAGCACAAGCTTTCTAAAGGCCAAGGCAACTTCCAAATCTTCCGCATCTACCAATTCTGGCTCTTTGTAGCTTCATCTGCTAAGTGCTTTTCTGTTAGTGCAGAAGGAAAATGAAAGTAGAGGAAAGAGATATCCTTAGTTCAGGGGTAAGGTAATGAATCGTTCAAATAAATTCCTTATGCATGCCCATTTTTCAGTAACCTCATCCCTGGTGTTGCGGAGGGGAATAGGGAAAAATCAGAGGTGTATATTTTGTGCCCAAATGCTTGAAAGTCAACAAAACGGCATCTTTGTTGTCCACTAATATTAACTTGATCTCTCGACTTGTGGCCTTCCCACCCTTTCCCACCTGCCCCCCCCCCCCCCATCATTTCCGAAGTAGCCATTTTGCAGATTCCAGAGGATGGGAGCTGGGGCTGGACCCAAACCTCTGCGGAGCCAATCCGAATCAGTAGCCCCGCGGCTGATCTCCGATTTGACAGCAACCTAGAGGGACCGGAAGATGGGAGGCTGGGTGTGCCAAACTCCATTAGCTAGGGCTGGGCCTCCAGGACAGGGGCTTTGGAGCCAGCTGCAGAGCTTCTCCCTTCCCCACGCCTCTCCGTAAGCAGCTGCAAGTGTGGTTAAATAGCCACCAGCTCCCCGGTGTGTAGCCTGCGTCTCAGGCTACCTTCCCGACCTGCGGCCGAGGTGTCAGCGGACATACTTTTTATTTTTGTCCACAAAATACCACCTCTTCTCCGAATCACATGTGGCCGGTTTTAAGTCGATGACAACACAATCAAGTCCACCTAAACCAGTTGCTGCTCAAGATGAGATGCGGTCGGGTAGCACCTGCGGGGTTGCGGGCTGGATCCCCCCCAGTTGGGGGCGTGCAGGAGGCAGCCAATCAAAGATTCTCTTGCATCATGGGTGTTTCTATCTCTGGCTTCCTCTCTGAAACCCATAAACATATTTTAAAAATATAAATACATAAAATACCCATGTTGTAAAAAAAAGATGAGATGCAGAATCTCAGTCGGGCCCAAGGTATGTAGGACGGATCTAGCAGCCCCGGAGTCCTCGTTCCAGGCTTCCTCCGCCCCCACGCAGTTGTCGCCAAAGCCCGGAGAGCGGGATTTCCCCGAGGATCAGGACGGCGAACGGGAGCGGCGGCGCGGCCGGGAGCAGCGCACGGGGCATGCTCAGTGGCGCGGCCGGCTGGGTGGCCCAGCAGCTGGACCCGGATCTGCTCGGCGCTCGGCGCGGCGGCGACGTGAGCGCGCAGGGGGGCGGCGGCCTCGCCTCGTCTCTTTCTCTGCGCCTGGTCGGGTGGGTGACGCGGAGCGCGAGAGAGATGTCGGATTTCGACAGTAACCCGTTTGCCGACCCGGATCTTCAACAACCCCTTCAAGGTGAGCGTCGCCCCCAGCCTCTCCCGCCGCCGCAAGGTGTCCTTGTTTGCGGAAACCGACAAGTTCCTTCGCGCCCACCGCGCCCGCCCCTCGGCTGCTCTCGGCCGCCTCGACTGGGGCTCCGGGCCGCGGCGGCACTCCTTTTGGGGTTCGCGCCCGGGCCCCCGCGTCACTGGCTTGGGGGTCGGAGCGGAACCTCTTCCGCTCCGGGCCCGGACCCCCTTCCCCACGTCCCCGACGGAGGAGCGTCATGCCTGGCCCGGGAGTGGGCCCGAGCGCCCGGGGCCTCCCGGCCCTCCTGTCGGGAGCGGCCCGGGTGGGGAGCCCTGGCAGGTGGGAGTTGTCACCTGCCAGGCTGGCTCCGGCTGGCCCGGCCCCGGTCCGGGCGGCGGCGGAAGGGGAAGGAAGGAACATACCCTTCAAGAGGGTTGTCATGGGGACCCGAAGGTGGCGCGCGAGGAGCTCTGCCTGGAGTGATGGCCGAGGTGTGTAGAAGAGGTGAGGGCACCGAGTACGCTGCAATTAAAAAAAAGGGGGATGGTGGTGGTGGTGGTATTTTTATTTCTTAAACTTGTGTTGCGCTCAGAGATACTTGTGTGGCGCTGCCACCCCTCTCTCGACATGTAGGCTGAGGCGGAGGGTCTGCTATCGAAGTAAAAAATGAACACACCTGTCAAAGAATAGTGCAGGCGGACGATCACCTGCCCACCTAGCTGCTCCCGGGAAGGGGAGCGCCGGGCTGTGTTCCAAGCTCCCCGTGCGTCACCGGTCCTCTGGGCTGTATCAGGATACAGTTCCCTCCCCACGTGAGCTCCCGTCCTTCTCGGAGGCAGCCTCCTTCATCAGCCGCAGCCCCGGGAGGGTCTGGCTCAGGAACGGCCAAGGGAGGAGACGGAGGAGTTCATGATCTGCGCTTCCCTGAGTGCAGTAGCTAAACGAGTAGCTCCCGAAAAGCACACCGGGTTTGTCCATGAGCTCCGCTGCCTAGGACGCGAAAGTTGTTCCCAAATGCTGGTTGGAAGGGAAGTCGTTTCTTAATTTCCCTTGGATATAGGCAGTAGTAACCTGAATTCGTAGTCTCACAAGATGAAATCATAACTTTAATTTGTGGTCACGTGAGTGCCACCCTTGGTTTGTTGAGTTTACATTTCTTCTTTGTACTCCTGGTTTGATCTCTGATGAAGAATCTGGAAGAGAAAAAAAATCCCAATTTTGATTTTTTGCCTGATAATTTGATGGAGGATTGTGTTAATTAGATGACCCTGGTTATAATTGACAATTAGACGCACTCTGTATAAACGTAGAATGGACCCATTTGTCACTATCCTTTGCCTCTAATTTCACTTGAGAAAATTCTGTGCAACTGGCATGGAACTTTCAGGTTTTTACAGATGATATGGTTGCATTTTAAGGAGATTTTTCTCACTCAGAAGTGTAGTATGTAGTGTCCTATCATTCCATGTTGTGGAAAATCTGATTATTTAGTCATAGAACTTCTAAAGAGAGATTTCATAACTTGCAAAATGGGTGTTATTTTAAAGTTATAATATTAAGAACCTGTTAGATTTTCCTTATTCACTTAATTCATTAATGCTATTTTTCAGTGTCTGACATTGTGGCTATCAGTTTCCTATTTGGTCATTCCATTTCATACCATATTTTATATATCTGGTTCTCTTTTATTAAAATTTTTTCCTTTATATTGAACTTATTGGGGTGACAGAGGTTAACAAAATTATACAGGTTTCAGGTGCACAATTCTGCAACATGTCATCTGTACACTGTATTGTGTGTTCACCACTCCAAAGCAAGTCGTCTTCCATCACCATTTATCCCCCCTATACCTTACTCCACCTCCCCCTACTCCTATAGCTGGTGTTCTTGCTATTGCACGACATTGTCTTCTTCTTAGCCCAGAATGCTCTTTTGTGACATCTAGTGTTGCCATGACACTTTCCTCTTCTGCCACACATAAGGTTTCTGTACTAATTCTAACCCCCAAAATAGTTTTAAATACTCATTGATAGTGGCATAAAATTATAAACTTTTTGTTCTTTATAAGTGGATGCACACAGAGGATAATTTTTATTCAGGTTCATAAAATATTTCAAGGGATGGATAATTTAGGCCTAAAGAAGACCTGATTGCACACATGTTCCTGTTTATGGTCTTTCCTTGTTTTTATTGACAGTCCCAGCACAGTGTATCTGACCCTTTATCTTTCCATTTGTTTCTAGCTGCCCTTCCTCTTTCAAAGTCAAACTTGACATCTATAGCATATTCTTTCTTCCTTCACTTTTGCCTGCCTTCTATGTAAATGCCATTTTTGAAATAGCATTTCTGGTCCTCTCTACCTAAATATAAAAAGTTTCTAGATCCATCTTTGTATTACTTTATAATCACCTTTCTTTTCAAATATGTTAATATTTTCAATATTATAAAATAAAGTTCATATTTTTAAAATATATGATATTTTATATTTGGCAACTACCTAATTTCTTGATTAAAAGCTACTTGATTTCCATTGCTTTTTCAGAGTTTTAAAATATTTCTTTTGCTTCACTTTCATGTTAGGAACACTTTTTTTTAAAATATATATATATTTTATTGATTTTTTACAGAGAGGAAGGGAGAGGAATAGAGAGTTAGAAACATCGATGAGAGAGAAACATCAATCAGCTGCCTCCTGCACACCTCCCACTGGGGATGTGCCCGCAACCAAGGTACATGCCCTTGACTGGAATCGAACCTGGGACCTTTCAGTCCGCAGGCCGACGCTCTATCCACTGAGCCAAACCGGTCACGGCTTAGGAACACTTTTTGTCAGCATCTTCATTTGAGCCATGTCATGAAAATAATTTCTGATGATATGTCTTTAGGTAATGTGACTACAGTGGTTTACTTGATTTTATTAGCTGTTGTAAAGTTATTTGCTGGATTCAGTTCATTTTTTTGATTGATTGCTTTATTTTAGGAGTTGTTAGGCTCAGTTAATAAGTTTATGGCATTTGATTAATTTTCATTGTGCATCAAGAAACTTGGAATAACTGGAAATGTATAATAATCTGAAAAAAAAGATTATTATATGGTCGTTTTTGATAATCGAATCTTTAGTAAAATGTGGTTTTAAAGCTAGAGAGGAAAACATTTTCTGTATAGTCAATGTATTTATTGAGTAATTGCTGAATGTTATTTATTCTTTTCAGTTATCATTCTTTCAACAACTATTAAAGAAACATTTCTATTTTTAAGGATATTAGCCTAACATGGCAGCAAACATGCTTGGAAAGTGAAATAAAAGGAGAGAGTTTAATAACCAGAGGAGAGATCAGTAATATAGGATCTTATAAGTCAGTGAAAGAGTGTATGAGTACAAGTCATTATGAGTGTAACTTGTTCAAAGGAGGGAACAGTAAGTGGCCAGAAAATTTTCATGTCTCCTAATATGATTTAGTATATGGTATTAATGTGCTAATTGATTGTATTAGAAAATTCACTGTAGAAATAACAGTTAATGTAATTTCTTAAAATAGAATAAAAATCTCAAAGTTGGGAAAGGAAAATCTTAAAATGTATTTAGTTAGAGCTTATTCTATGTATGAAAAAAAGCCTAGATACATGCTATTTTACATTTGACAATGACCCTAATTTCTTCTTGATTAAGAACCTTTTGATTTCTATTGCTAACTTGCAACTTGCTCATTCTTGTTTTTTTTAAAATCCTCACCCGAGGATATTTTTTTCCATTGAGGGAGAAGGTGAGGGAGAGGAAGAGGGAGAGGGAGAAAGAGAAAGAAACATCCATGTGAGAGAGACACATTGATCGGTTTCGGCCAGCATCAGCCCCTACTGGTCCGGGATGCAACCCAGGTGTGTGCCCTTGACTGGAATCGAACCCGAGACCCTTTAGTGCACAGACCAATGCTCCAACCACTGAGCAATCCTGGCCAGGGTTTGCTCATTGTGTTATATCCAGGTGTAGGTAGTGCAGAATTGGCATTAGAACTTAGATCTCCTGATTCCAAGTCCACTGCTGATGGCACTCTATTTGGTTGCACTTTGCACAACAGAATTCTTGTTTTGTATTTGGTGCATTTGATCTTGGCTTTGTCACTAACCAACCATGAGACCTTGGAAAGTTACTTAGCCACTCTACATCTCAGTTTACTATTCTGTAAAATAGGATAATGGTACCATTACCTTCTCCATAGGATTGTTAATAGGATTAGATGAACATACATTTAGCATGTAATAAGTGCTCAATGCATGATGGCTTTAATCTGATAATAATAAGTAGTATTAATAGTAATTCAAGGAATTGTATTTAATTACATATAACCATATTATTCTTAGCTTATTAATTTGGTGAAGTTCATGTTCCTTTTGACTCTTCTAGAGTGCTAGTAGTAGTTTTTTGGCAGGTCATAGTTGAGGAATTAAGGTAAAAAATAATGAAGTGGTTTGCCCTGAGTCACCCTGCTAGACTAATTCCAGGTTGTCTGAATTCTAATGCTTTGTCACTGCATATGCTTCCTCTCTAATTAAGTAACTCTATTAAAATGGAGCACAATGTCCATTTTGTTTTGGCCTCAAAAATTAATTCTCTATCTCTTAAACATGGCTTACAACTCAGCATTCTTATTTATGTTATCTTTTAAGTTATAGTAATGTTGAAAGTATTCTAAGAATTTAGTTGAAGTTAAAAATTGAAAACCTCGTCATTAAAAAGTGACCCATAATTCAAAGATGTTACCTATTTTGTTTTCATCTACAGTAAGTTGATGTCACTCCTCCCTTATCCATTTAAATTTTAAGATTGGAGATATTTTAGCATTAGGAAAGGATTTTGAGTATTTCTTCTGTAATAGTTTAACATTGCAAAGTTTTATCTTTCAACATTAATATGGACATAGTGATAGTAGTAGTTATGGTATTTTACATTCAGATCAACTGTGTAAGTTCCCACTCGTTTTTCTTAGGTTGATGTTTTTAAAAAGCATGTGTTCTGCTGCTGATTATATCTCATCAAATTAAGATGCATTATTATTTACCACTGTCTGTTATCTGTCACTGTATAACAAATAGTCCCAAAATGCAGTGGCTTAAAACAATTATTTGCTTACTATTCTCTTGCTTAGCTGGTCAGTTTGTTTACTTTTGAATGTTAGTGGTTGAAGTCATTCAGGTGGCTTCAATCATCTAGCCCAGCAATTTTCAACCGGTGTGCTGTAAGAGTCTTTAAAATATGCAATACCTGACTATTTAGTCAGAGGCACAGACCCCTTTTCCCTTAGATTGTCAAATAAAAAAAAATGACAACAGCCAACACAACAGTAGTCCTCTGGCATGAATGCCCTGTCTTGAACCATAAATGTATAGGTCACATAATAGAATTGCATCTTATTGGTCATGTCGCATAATAAGGTTGCATCTGATTGGTTAATTCTTGGTACCAGAAATCCTTATATACAAGTATAGGCACCTGATTTTTTAAAAAGTCACTTTGGAGCAAAAAGGGGAGGTAATTACTATTATTATTATTTTTTTTTTGTAAATCAAAATTATACCTGTTTTTTGTCAGATTGGCAAAAAATATAATTTTTGTGTTTGTGTGCTGTAGAATTTTAGTAATTAGTTTATGTGTGCCATGAGATGATGAAGGTTGAAAATTGCTGATCTAGGCCCTTCACTGAGGCTGGATTGTTTAAGATGTCCTCATTAAAGTATCTCACAGTTACCTGGGGCTGTCAGTGGGGGACAGCAATTGGTTCTCTTTCATGTGGCCTCTCTACTAGGAATAGTTTAGGTGTTTTACATAGTGGCCACATTGTTCCATGAGGGTAAGAGCTGAAGCTGCAAGGCTTCTTGAGTCATTTCACTTCAGCTACATTGTTAGTCAAAACAAGCCACAAAGCTAGCCCAGATTAAAAGGAGAGGGGAGGATTAGATTCCACTTCTTGATCAGAGCAGCTGTGTCCCTCTTGATACAGACCTAGGACCTGGAAAGATATACCCAGAATCAAATGGTGAGACAGTTACAGGATAACCTCAATACACACTTCTATTCAAATAGGGGAGGAGGGGGAGGCACTATTGCTGGTCCATAGCAAGTCTGAAATCCAGCCAGGTTCCTGTATTTATTGTCCCCTACTTTAGGGGCAATGAGTGTTCCTTGATTAGGTACCAC